TTTTCATATTTTGAGATGTTTCTGTTTTCTATATTATGTCTATATTATATTATATTATATCTAGTTTTCTATATTATATTATATCTAGATACGATGATAATTAGAAACGGAATATTTGATTTGGTAATTCACAATAGTTTACTGCTTTTTTAAACTTGGTGAAAGGCCACGTCAGAGCTTAGGTGATTTGAACTTGACATATTTACTCGGTTACACTTTGAAGCATGTTAAAGTGCTCCAGATGTTTTAATAACCTAAAACATTCATTTAATTGCTATTAATTCTTTCATTAATATTTATTTGGTTCTAAATAAGAAACCATGTATAAGATAGAATCTTCTTACGTCGCCAAACGTTTTCAATGATAGTTCCATGATTTTGCCAGCGGAAATCTTTGGTGGATAGTTAGACATGATCATTATCAAAAATACACTGCGCATTATTTTTCCGGAAGATCATACTATTCGAGCTCGCGGGATTCAATTGCTAATTTTTCCGCTTATTATTTTTTATCATGTATACGTAACAACGGCCACAAATCTTTATTTATAATATCAGTAATAATGTAAGACACAATTTCCCTTTTATATAAGGTATGTCAGAAAAGTAATGTAACGTAACTTAAAAAGAAAATACGATGTTAAACTGAGTAAATCAAACCCATTAATTGGATTCAGACACAATGCATTTGCGCCAAGAAAGTTGCTACTTTTAGAAACACATTCCAAAAAGTAAATAATTGTTAATTTAAGTTAAATCAGTAAATTGCCAATTTTTGAACCAGAGGCACAGTTCTTTATTAATTATATGGAGATAATTGGAGCGTATAATGATCATTGTTTTGGATATTTTTGCTTGTGCAGACCTTAGCATGAGCTACTTCTCTCTATGTCGTATAGCTTCCAATTGACACCCGAAAATTAATTGTGATCACTTGTTAAAACGTGTTCATATTTGCAATAATTTTCGCATACACCTTCCCTATATTCAAATCTTCTGTACAAATCTCCTTCAAAACATAAAGGTACAAGTACAGTTCCTCAATCATCATTAACTTTATTAAATCTAAATTTTGACTGACGGAAGCTTTTATTAATACTTGCACTGACATAAACAATTGTAAAACATGTGTTTAAAGTAGTAAGTTAAAATTGCACCAAAGGTGTACGCAGAATGCAGCTGTCAGCTCAACATTTGATTTCATCCTATTGTAAAAACAAAAAGAATCATTACTTTTCTGACATACTTCGTATTTCCGTTTAAGATATATTAATTATTTATGTTGTATAATAATGAATTTAATATAATTTTTGTAATATTAAATGCGACTTTTTCTACATAAAAATAAATTACAATAAATATAGAATGTAACATTTAATTTTCATATCGATAACTATAAACTAAAAATTAAACATGTAATATACTTTAATCATACCTGGTCTTTAAATTGTTCCCCAGTATAACAAAACAGAAATAAATGTATTGTGACGTTTATAATGTTTAACACATCAGAACACATAACCCCTAAATTACTGGTGTTCCAATCCTACAAATAAGTATA